AAACGAACAGTTTTTTGCAATTAAATAAACTCTATAATGGAAGACCATAAGTAAAAAAATCATCGTCAGGGCGTGAATTCAAGGGAACTCTATGTGAAATTTTAGAGAGCAAGTCATCATTGTGAGAATATCTGTACGCCTCAATCTATCTTGATTATTTCCTTGAATAGCAACTGTTCTACCACTTTTTTTCAGAATCTTAAAGTTCAACTTGAAGTCTTTATTTTCTTTTTCACAAAAGTTTAATTTACCAAGTGCTGTAAAAAACATATGAGGATTGGGAAAAGCAAGTATGAGATATATTATCAGATTTGATCATTGGAGATATTATATTGAAGGAAAACAATGTTGAAAGTAAAAAATGTGAATAGGTAACGTCTATGCACCTTAGAATGCCAGTGCCACAACCAACATCCATAACTGTGCTTCCCCTAATAAGAGAGGGATTTTCCGAAATTGCTCTGTGATAGGCATCTGTCCTTACCTGCATTTATTTTAAAAGGAACATTTACACAACAATACTTAGTTTTGTGTGGAGCATAATTCCTTTTATCACTTCGTTTTACCAAAGTAGCATACACATAAAGTTAATCTTTCTAAAAGGTTACCTTGTCACTAATCATCTCCCTATGAATGCCAAATGAACTATATGCACCAAAATAACTACTGTTTATGTTATTTATTTTCTTTCTTGCAATATCTGTAATAGAACAAGTATGCCCCTTGTCCTCTGAACTCCCATGAAGTGAAATATTACAGTCCTTAGAATCTTCAATTCTGATTTCTGAATTACCCAAAGAATTTCCATTATTGCAACATCCATCCGTGGTAGGTGTAACCTTCTTTCCACCATTCTCACAACAGGCTCCGCGTCTAGATTTGTACTCATCGGATGCGAATTCATGATCATCAATTCTAATACGCTCAAAAGTACTCATGTCCTTTGGACACAAGGCATCATTGTTATTGACAGACATAGAATCATCTATGCCTTCATCATCTTCAGCAAAACTGAATAGAAGTGCATCCTCCTGCAAGTAAGGCTTTAGATACTTGTCGTCATCCCAAGGCAGGACATTGCTTTTGTACTTGATTATTTTGTGTAAATGGTCTTGCATATCCTGCTTCGACTTAAAGGTGATCTGACAATTCCAACATCTACTTTCAGCAACCTAGCAATGTCAGTTAAGAAGTAGCCATCAATTAAACGTAGAACATATCTACAGATTTTGAACTAAGCAAAGGTCATATGAAATATGTAAAGATAAGAACTTTGAGGGAATTTCTATCCGCCCTACGCACCTCAGACCTAATGTAGTTGATGAGCTTGAAACAACCATAGAAATCCAAGCCGAGGTCATTCTTGAGTTCATCGAAGTCAAAGTGGTGGGTGGAAGCGCAGTGCTGAAACAGAGCTTGGGCGGAGTTTATCCGAGAATCACAGAACAAGCAGAGCAATTCTGGGTTCATGGTATCGTCTTCTTCATCGGCTTCCCAATCATCCCAGTTCTGGTCTTCTTCTTCTTCAATAATATCAGTCCCATTTTCCAACTCCATTTCTGTGCTGTGGGAGGATGCATTCTCGTCGCTTAGCGTTGCCATTTGAAGTGGGGAAGCAGACCAAGCGCCACACGCTAAAACCCTAAACCCAAATAATATTGATCTTGTGCCCCTTAATATATGGCTCGTGTAATTTACCCAGTTACCGCAAATTCAGCATGCATTTCACTAATTTGATCTTGTTACTCCATTGTCATACAAATTACGGAGTAATAATATTTACTCAAACACTTTTTTTAAAATATTAATGGTTCTTTTTGTACACACTTTTTATACATGTCTATAGGCTATTTTTGTTTTTTAAAAGACTAGAAAAGTTGAAGATAATAAAGTTTTCTATATCATAATTGGAATCATTTGATTTAGATCACCCAATAAAAAGATATGTTTAAAATCGTGAAACATGACCATCCTAAAATATCATCATCGAATGTCTTCTCGTCTGATTTCACTTTCATCTGATCATATTCTAGTCATCGTGTATTCATAAAATTTATAGTTACTTGATTTATCTCTCACACGAGTGTTACTGAATTTATTTGAAATTGTATACGAAAAGATATGTTTAAACTATTGGCAAAATATTGTCCCAGTTCAAGGTTGTGAGTTGAACGACGGTCAAATTGCCTTTTTCGTGCTCTAACTTTCATTCTTCGAATTCCAATCCCATCTTGAGTTATTTTTCTTCTTAAATTTTATAAATCTATTCAAAAAATGCAAGAACTCACATTCAACATGAGAAAACAAGTCTTAACAAAATATTATCTTAGGAATGTGTGAGATTGACTTCCATCTCATTAGCATTAATATAGTTGTTAATATAAATCTTATTGTTTATTACGGAGTACATGTTTAGTCTCCGTATTAATGCTACTAGTATTAACATGATTGTGATTTATGAGTATTATAGTCCTTTTTTACATCAATCCTATTATCTTTTGTTAGTAGTAATGCTATTGTTTATAATATACTTGTGAGATGATAATACCATATTACTATAGCCTAACTTCTTCTACCAAAAAAAACTTATTCTTAACTTTAATATGAACTCTTGTTCTGGTAACATTTAGAGGTTGTCTACTAACATATATATTTTACAATGTTTAGAAAACTGCAAACTGGGAAAAGGAATAATGAAGTAAAATGTGTTTACTGAAAAAATTGCTGGAAAAGTGGAGAAAGAAAACCAGAAAAATGTGTTTACAAAACTATTTTCCAAACCAAAAAATGAAACATGTCTCTATTTTCATTAATGAATTGAAGCGGCGAATTTCATTAGTTTTCCAAATTTGAAAAGCGCAAATGCTGCAGTGCTGCCAAAATGAATTTTTCTAGTTATACGTAGTGATGGACCTGGTCCCGCTACAGTCCAGTCCCACTACGGTCTCAGTTCCGGCTTGCTCCCCATTTTTTTGAAATCTTTTTCAAAGTGAATAGTTTCAAAAGACCCATTGAGTTGCCAACTAATGAGAAAAAGGAAAAGAATTAATCAAACTAGATGTTGGGATTAGTCAGTTTCGATCCCAATTTTCTTATATCCGGGACCGACTACCCTATTTAGGTTGTACCGAGTCCGGTTTCAAATCGAAATCGTACTTCCGGTCTTCCGAACGATCTGAGAACTGAGTGAACAAATTTGGTGAACATGTTTTCGGATTTGAAAATGGAAAACGGGAAAATAAAAAAATGGAAAACGAAAAACAAAAAAATAAGAAATTTGGAGAATGTCTTTGTTAGAAAAATAACGACCAACAATAATGTCTTATAATTATGAATAATTTGTGTTTTACTTTAAAAATCAATTGTACAAACAATTTTCATTGAATTTAAAAATTATATGAAATTTGGTTTAACAAATATTAACATGAGGCGACAAAAAATGTGAATGATCCAAACTCAAGAGTAACTAATTGATTTTTCAAAATATAAAGTTACATTGATAATTACTCTCAAGAGGCTAATAAAAGGCTGAGAAGTACCAAACAAAGGGAAAACTATCAAATAAGCCCCTCTACCAGTTCCAAAAAGTCAATTAAACCCTCCAACTAAAAAAACACCCAATCAAACCCATCAACTACTAAAAACGAGTCAAATTGTCTTTTTCACCCGTAAAAAATGGATTCACCGGTTATTTGTACACGTGGCAACCTAGGTGGCTTTTTTCATTTTTTCCCATTTTCATTTTCTTTTTTTTTTCTTTCTTTTTCCCTTCTCCTTCATCTTTCTCTTCCACCTTGCGCCGTTCAAGCAACTTTCACGCAGAGTCTTCACCTCTCTTCTTCCATTTCTTCTCCCCCTTTCCTCTTTCTTCTCCTAACCATCAGCCATAAGCCAACGATACAGTGGCAAAGTTCGTGGGAATCTAGGTCGCCGGAGATGTCCGACTACCCATCGCACACCAGACCTTGTCACTGGACGGTAGTCCCCTTTTCGCGGATAGATAGCTTGGAAGTCGAGGAAGATACTCCGTTGGAACTTCAATTTGGCCGGTGCTCCGTGAGATCTCCAGGCTACCTCTAGATTCCAGCTTCAATTCAGCCGGAGACCCTAGCTGGTGGTGGAGAAGAGGAGGGTGAAGTGAGGCCGGGAAAATGCGAGCAGGGGACTAAGGGGGAAAAAAAGAAGGGGAAAGAACGAAAGAAACCAGAAAAGAAAAAGGAAGAAGAATCCGCAGGTGTTGAGTTGCAGCCCACGGGGAAGAAGAAATCGACTAATGGAGTGGGAAAGAAAAGGAAAATGAAAGAAAAAGAAAATAAAACAAAGTAAAAAGAAAAAGAAAAGACAAAGAGCCACATCAGATGCCACAGATTTGACTGGGAACCGGGAGTATACCTGTTAAAAGCAGGATTTGCTTATTTTTTTACGGTTCGTGGGTGTGATTGAATGTTCTTTCAGTTGAAGGACTCAATTGACTTTTTTGAAATAGTAGGGGGACTTATTTGACACTTCTCCCCCAAACAAAAGGAATGAAGTCCACCAGCCCCAACATCACTTATCCAGGGGTTTAATGCATCAAACCCCCTTGTGATACAGAAATTCAGCGCATTAGCCCATTGTGATTTGAAAAATGCGTCAAACCCCCTTGTGTTTTAATTAATCATGCACAAAACCCTTTTTGTGAATAAATTTAATGATCTGGAAACCACTTTTCCTAATATTATGATTGAATATGCAAGTAAATATGTCATAATCTCTAAATCATACATAAATGTTAATTATTTTTCTTTTATTTGACAATTGGATTTGTTTATAGAACAGATTTTGCGCATAATTAATTAAAATACAAGGGGATTTGACACATTTTTTAAATCACACTGGGCTAATGCCCCGAATTTTCATATCACAAGGGTTTTGGTGTATTAAACCCCTTATCCAGGCGATTGACATGAAGGAGTCATTAATTAGAAGAATTAATTATTTAATCATCATCATCTAGTCTAGTCTAGAACTTAATAATAAAAGCTTCAAGTCCGCTTTTCAGGCGCGCAAATCTTACCGACTACCGTCGTCAGTATTCTCTTTCAGTCTTTCTCACTATATGATTCAAAGTTCCGCCTGGAGCATTCAATTATTCGATATATCCATCATGCGCACTAATTGATACATACTCCGGATATAAAGGGAGAGAGTGTTAAAACTGGCTTCTGGATTCAGGAAACTAAACCCAACCCAAGATTTTAGATTTGCTATTCAAAGCTCAATGTTTCAATTCAAAATTGAGTTAACCGTTTCGCGCTCTGCTTAGTTCGCTCCCAATCGGCTGAGCTCGCCCACCCTTTCGATATCACCATGGAAGAGTAAGCACGTCTCCTCTACTGAGATCTCAGTGGATGAGTTTTTTGTCGGGGATTGTATTTTTAATCTGATTTATTGAAATGTGGTCGCGCGCAGGGAGAATTGGGTTGAGCTTGTACAGAGATACAGAAGAGACAGACGCGTGCTTCTGAATTTCATACTCTCGGGTAGCTTAGTCAAGAAGGTGGTTATGCCTCCAGGGGCAGTTTCTTTGGATGATGTGGATCTTGATCAGGTCAGCGTGGACTATGTTCTTAATTGCATCAAGAAAGGTATGCATATGTGATAGTCATTTTAAGAGAGATTTCGTTCTTGCTTCTTAATGCAATAATGCTCAATCCCATATTAGCTGAACCGAAAAGCCTCATCATTAATGTAGGAGGAATGCTTGAACTTGCGGAAGCTATTCGAGATTATCATGATAGTACATTGTTCCCAAACATGGTAAACTTGAGATCATCAATTAGTAATTTTCCTTTGGTGCTATGTTTCCTTTTATAGACCTGTTTTTCATTTTAATCAACCCCATGGTTTTTATTCATTATTTTTTGCTCTTAAGAACAATGCAGGTGCCTCCAGTGAATTCTTTTTGGCTACAAATCCTGAGTTATCAGGTTCACCTCCGAGGAGGACGCCTCCAGCTGCCCCCACTGTGACACCCCTACGGATTCTACCAAATCTTTCAGCAGAAGAGCCCCTTGATTCTGAGCCAGTTGAAGAACAATCTGCCCTCTCAAAAACCAAGTCTCTTAATTCCATTAATGCTCGAGAGTTAACTGTAGATGACATTGAGGATTTTGATGACGATGATGATCTAGCAGATATTGATAGCCGCAGATATTCTAGAAGAGTTCTAAATGATGCCACTGATCTTATGCCTGGTCTGGCTTCATTTGCAACAGGTAATTTATTTACTAATATATAATAGTATCCCACATCATAATATGTGAACTACGGAGACACATCGTAATGTACTAAATGACAAAATGCAGTAACATATTCGCAATTGAGATGATTAATTTATATTTTCATTTCTTTATGCAGAAAGGGTGGGGTTGCACTGTATTTAAAAAAAATTGTTTTATTCATTAAGTTATTTTCTACAATCATCGAGACATATAGTTGTTGCGTATCAGTTGCCTATCAAAACTGACGTTCTTAAACATCGTTTTTAAACATTGTTTTTTCCTTTTCTCTATGAATGTTGCCTATCAGTTGTATTCAGCGCTGAGATGCCCCAATTACCCTTCAAATGTTGGAACATCTGTTATTCATATTTTAAATGTTGCCTTGTGGATATGGAGTGCCGAGCTTCTAGTATCTGCAGGCAGCTATTGCAGTTGTGACTTTACTATTTAATTTGCAATCTTTTAAAGTTAAATGTCATCCTTAAGAAAGCTAATTAATTGGTCATCCTTAAGGGGAGTGAAGTGTCATCTATGACTGTCGGTGTCATCCATTTTTTATTAAACCCCTATCACCCTTTAAATGTTGGAAATTCACTCTCTTGGGTTTCTCCCAGGTATTACTGATCATGACCTACGAGAAACTGCATATGAAGTCCTCCTGGCCGCTGCTGGGGCTTCAGGGTACTGTTCATTTTGTGTGTGTGTGTGTTTGCTCTTCTGCTCCATTTTTATTTACAGTTATGAGTTTTTAATTTGATGCCCCTGCAAGCAGAGGTCTAATTGTACCATCAAGGGAGAAGAAAAAAGACAGAAAGTCTAAGCTGATGCAGAAGCTTGGGCGGAGCAAAAGCAATATTGGTGCGGCTAGGCCTCAGCATTCTCATGGATTAGTTTCTCTTTTAGAGACCATGCGTACTCAAATGGAGGTCAGCTATTAATATCTGTTTCTAGAGCTTGCATGTACAGGGAGACTTCCCATTTATATTATCTTAGATTGTAGCATAAAATCTGAGTTTGGTTACTCTTAAGTAATGCAATAAAATGCTCACCAAATTGTAGTTTAATGGCACATAGACAACTTGTGAAATATGTGAACGTGTCATCCCAACAGAGCAAGCAAATTGCAAATTCATCCTTAACTACAATAGTGCAATGCCAGTAGATTTTTCATGTTTTCCCGAGGCATTGAAGCCCCAGACATTGCATGATGTGATAACAGCAAACAGACGAGATTTGATCAAAGTTTGGACTGAATTTTGATAACTCGTGTATTGATTCAGCAAAACATATAGGATATGGAGTAAGAGGTCAGGATTTGGGGTTTATGACAGCCTAGACAAGAGTTGTCATGAACTTATGGTACTTAAAAACCACTTTTGTTCAAACCATGGGGGCAATGATGCCTTGATATGGAAGACTTGTCAGCTAGCTTTTTCTTTATTATCTAAATTTCTGAGGGTGAAAATATTTTTTCGTTAGGGTATGGTTTGGGGTTATTGGAGGGGAGGGGAAATTTGGGTAACAAAAGTGGAGGGGATGTCTATAAGTTTTTCCTCTCTCCTCTGCCCTTCTTTTTATTTTCTATCCCTCCAATTTGGGTGTTTTGAAGGGAAAGCTAAATTTTACTCCCCTACTCTCCACTCCAACAAATCTACACACAACACTCCATTTCCCTTCCCTCAAAGCAAATACACCTTTAGTTTTAGTTTTCGTGTTTACTAGTTTGGTGAACTTATAATCATAGAATATAGTAGCATTGTTTCCTGAATTCTTAATTCCAGAGCATTGATTTGTATAAACTTTTCAATCCGTTAGGTTTCTCACATTTTATCATGGCTAACAGATTTCAGAGGCAATGGATATTCGAACACGAGAAGGGCTCCTTAATGCAATGGTGGGCAAAGTGGGAAAAAGAATGGATACACTGCTGATTCCACTGGAGTTGCTATGCTGCATTTCACGCACAGAATTTTCTGACAAGAAGGCATATATAAAGTGGCAGAAGAGACAGGTAACATATCTTTTCTCTCACACTAGTGTTGTTTGTATATGCATAGTTAACTGGCACCCCCTCCCACCGCTTTCCAGCAGCAGTTTGAAAATGCTGAAATTGTGTATGATACTTAAACAAATGTTGTACAGGGGTAAGGCTGCGTACATCCAATCCCCCTTACCCCACCGTAAGTGGGACTTAGTGGGAGCCTTTGTGGCACTGGGGTAATGTTGTTGTTGTTGTACGTAAACAAATGTTGTATGCTCATTTTGTGTTAGTTCAGTTAAACATGTTGGAGGAGGGACTTGTCAATCACCCTGCAGTCGGGTTTGGGGAATCTGGCCGCAGAGCCAATGAGTTAAGAGTTCTTCTTGCCAAAATTGAGGAATCCGAGGTTTGTATTTATTTATTCTTTGTGTTTTTTTAATAATCTGTTAGTTGATTCATATAATAGGAATAAGTGAATAACAGATAGTCTTACTTGCCTTTGACCCAACCCTTTCAAACTATTTCCTTCTGAAATGCCTCTTATTTGGAGGATTCAGTTACTATAAAGCTAACATCAAAGGAAGTGATGAAGTTGATGCGTCAATCTACCACAACCCGTAAAGAATTAAAGATAGAGGATGAAAAGTTAAATTTGATCTGTGCATGAGAAAAGTTCCTTGCTAAACAGTTTTTTTAGTCTTGTTCGTATATGCACTAATGCACTTAACACATTTTGTTTCTTTCAGTCTCTTCCAACTCCTGCTGGTGATCTTCAGCGGTCTGAATGTTTAAGATCACTAAGAGAAGTTGCTATATCACTGGCAGAGCGGCCAGCTCGAGGTGACTTAACTGGTGAAGTATGCCATTGGGCTGATGGCTATCACCTGAATGTCAAACTATATGAGAAACTACTTCTTAGTGTCTTCGATGTCTTAGATGAGGGAAAGCTCACTGAGGTTAGCTATAACACACATTATCGGAATATATTATGCAGCAATTGTGGGTTTTACTTTCAGTCCTCTCATGTGGATTGTGAATACCATATTTTCTTTTGAAGTGCAAGTGTGCCCTTCCCTGTATTTGTTCATCAACTTAGTACAACTGACTAAATGCTTTATGCCTATATGAAGTACAGAAATATTAAAATCCTAACATGACAATAGGAGTATATAACACATCTACTTAGGCCTTATTCCCAAAGTAGACGATGTTTTTGTTAGGATCCAATATATTTTTTATAAGATCCTGTATAGCCTATATCCGCATGAACTTGTAAAGTTTTGAGTTGTTTGTGCCTCACCATCTCTTTGATTGGTGTTGGCCGTAGCTTGTGGCTGTTTTTTGGGCTTGTTTGTGCTTGACCATCACTTTGTTTGGTGTTTGGCCGTAGCTTTTGCATGTTGTTTTTGTTGGGGATGGGTTATCCATGTTGGATAACCTGCATTTTTGTTTCCCTTTTTCTTGTACATTCTGAACCTCTGTTTCTTGGGTGATTTTTTATAATATACTTACATTTCATCCAAAAAAAGGAGTATATAATACATTCATCATCATCATCATCACCCCAATGCCACAAAGGCTCCCACCTACAGTGGGGTAGGGGGGGGGGGGGTCGGATGTATGCAGTCTTACCCCCGTTTAGCACAAAGAGACTGTTTCCGGATGACCCATGGTGAAAATCGCGTAAAAAATTGCATGAATTGACTGTCGCTTCATAACAAAGAAGCGCAGCCAGTTTAGTGAGTCATTTTTCTTTATTCCATCATATTCTCAAGCCAAAAAATTGTAAATTTTTGGCTCCATTGCAAATGATGGAAAAGGAGTATATAATACATTGATTCTCGGTTTTATTTTCTTGTCTATTAGCGCTTCATTTTGTTTCCCTTTTCAGCTTGTTGATGTGTTAACTTTGCCGCACCGGTTTCAGTTTTAAAGTATTTAATGTTTTCCAGTGTGTGGGATGCTATATAGAGTGCAAACTTTTTTAATTGTTATTGATGCTGATTCTAATGTTTTTATTTACAGGAAGTTGAAGAGATTTTGGAACTTTTTAAGTCTACCTGGCGTGTTTTGGGCATCACAGAGACAATTCATTACACTTGTTATGCATGGGTGCTTTGCCGTCAGGTAAACAAAAGTGACGAAGGTTCTATAGTTGCACTTGTATAAACTTGTCATAATAGCAACTTCTTTCAGCATGCGATGTTCATTACTGCATATGCTTTCATGATATTTTTTTAAGAACAAAATCCTTTTGATCTGCATATGTAACAATGTCAGTTTCTTATTGGTTGAAGTCTACAGCACCTGGAAGTTTAAGTTGTAAATAGGATATCCACTTATTATTTTTTTTATTTGTATTTCACTTCAACATGCTCCATTCAGGTATTCCAAATACCCTCCCTCTCATTACTGAAACATGTGAATATTTTGATGACGTGATAACATGTGATTCAAGCCCATGTTATGTTATGTGCCCACCCCAAAGAATGCTTGTCTTTGTTAATCTTAAATTTTTAAAAGATAAGAGAGCTTTTTTTAAAAAAAGAGCCTAACGTGTTGGATAGTTGGAGCTATTACGTCTTTCTGACAAATGTTATGTAGTGTGATACAACAACAGCAAGTCAGCAACCAAGGTTTGGTCTAGAAAATCATTGGGGTCTGTTACATGGACTAGTAGTCTAGTAGAGAATCTGAATGTAATGTAGTGTGATGTGCTCTCACTTTTTTCTTTTTATTTGTCAAGTATACCCCTTTCTCTATTGCGAAGTTTTGAAAACCCAAGGCTCTTATACCATGCATGATACTTAAACAACAACATCCAAGGCATGGAGAGATACCATTTATCATACCATGTTATGATAGAATGAATAGTACTCCGTAGTCCGTATATATAATCTATCAATGGAGTTAATGGAGAACGCACACTCAACCAAGGATATACAGTTTCAGTCCAACAGGGATTCGGTTCTACTTGACATTTCTGATTGTACTGAGAGCATTGTTATCAGTGGTCCTCACTTTTCCTTAAAATGTTTTTTAGAACCATTTCTTAATGTAGTTTTCATCTCTTTATTCTGTTTAGTAGGTGGGTTCATAGTCAATTCTACAAGTGTGCTTTTTGAAATATTTGTTGGATTACAGCTTCCTTATATTTCTACAGTATGTCGTTACTGGCGAACAAGGAATTCTGCTGCATGCCATTGAGCAGTTAAAGAAAATTCCACTGAAGGAACAGCGAGGACCACAGGAGCGATTGCACTTGAAGAGCTTGCAATGCAGAATTGAATGTGACAAGGGATATCAAGAACTATCTTTCTTACAGTCTTTCTTACTGCCTATTAAAAAATGGGCTGATAAGCAGTTGGAAGACTACCATCTTCACTATGCTGAGGTTTGTTGGTTTAGACATTTTTTATGCATTGGCAGTTTGGCATGTCATAGTGTTCTTGCTCTTCCTATTTGCTTGTGTAATTTAACTAAGAAGGATTTTGCATGATGTCCTCACACTCTCACAGTAAGCAAAAAAATCTTAACTTGAGGCCAGGGGAGTAGGGGACACTTTACTTTATTATCTTCCTCAAACATTAAAAAAAGTTGATGAAATAAAACAGTTCTGAAATTTGAATAGTGTTGCATATATGAAATAAAGTTGCATACTTGCATATATGCCAGAGTATGGATGTAAAATGCTGCTTAGTGCGTGACTCTAGGTTGCATTGCCTTTGTAAGTCATTCACTCATTTGTACTGGATTTTAAATCATCTGTGCAATGACACTGTATTTCCTTTTTCTTTCTTTCTTTAAGAAGTTTGATCCCATTTTTTCTTCCATTATAGAGTTCAGCAATGATGGAAACCACTTTGGTAGTGTCAATGCTTGCTCGAAGACTTCTTTTAGAAGAACCTGAATTGGTATGTCGTATTTACCTCTCCCCGACTCTCGCCCCTCTTCCTCCAGACTTCCATTTCTAGAATAGCATAAACATTCCTTGCTTACTCTTGATTATTTCTCAATTTGTTCGTATTACACATTATTATTGATTACTATTGATTTCATCCATATCATACACAGAGGTTTAAGCATTTCTTTTTCAAGGCAATGCAGGATATACACAAGACTGATTCGGAGCAGATAGAGTTTTACATTTCCTCTTCAACAAAATATGCTTTTGCGAGGGTAACTTGTTGAATAGCTTTTTTATTTTTATGTAGGGATAAGGGTCAGATAGGGCTTCGAACTCGAAAAAAAATGTCAAATAAGGTCATATTTAGGATGTTCTGTCCGGCCGACGCCATTTGGGGTGGTTCCCGATGGAATTTTTTGATGAAATTTTTTGAGCATCTTCCTCATTAAGTCTAGTTTACTCATACCAAATTTCACCTAAAAATGCAACCGGGAAGGTAGTCAAATGATTTTCCGAAATGTACGGGGTTGTTTAACTTCACAATTATCTTCAAAAAATTATTTGACTACCTTCCCGGTTGAATTTTTAGCTGAAATTTGGTATGGGTAAACTAGACTTAATGAGGAAGATGCTCAAAAAAATTCATCAAAAAATGGCATCTGGAACCGCCCCAAATGGCGTCGGCCGGACAGAGCATCCTAAATATGACCTTATTTGACATTTTTTTTCGAGTTCGAGGCCCTATCTGACCCTTATCCCTTTTATGTATTTACAGACCAAAACAACTGTCAATATATATATTTTAAAATGGCACATGTGACATTGTAAGCTTAACATATAATGCAAATCTCATTTTATTTAACATTATCATAAGTTCTCCTAATCCCTGGGAGACTGTTACTCTGGAGCATTCATTTTAGTTCAATTTGAGATATTCATGCTAGAGTGTATATGTCTTCAATGACAGGCATAGTGTTGTACTGAGATTCATGATTAAAGAACAAATGAAATATGACTATAATGTCTATAAAGTCGTTAGCTTTTGTTAGGGCTTACAACCAAGATTCTGACTAACTGGGTACTGGAGATCTAAATTTCCATACAAATTGAAAAATAAGTATCAAGTATCATGTGTGTACACATTGGGGAAACTGAAATAGATTTATCATTTTCATGTTTAGATAAAGTCATGCTAAGCATGTTATATGGTAATCTTGTGTTGTCTCCAAAATAGAAGCAAGGGAGAGGATACACATTGAAGCATAAACCGTACAATAGGAAAAATTGGAAATTCATGGAAGTCCGTGATACATGCACAATGCACATGTAGAGAATCTTAAAAGTATGTCTGCCATGCAGTGCATGTTTTTTTTTCAGATATCAGCAAAGACAAAATATTCAGGGTATTCGTTTGAAATGTTATACTCCTAGACTGATTGATATTTGTTCATTTGACCTTTATTTTGCTTTCCATACACAGATGCTGCAAGATGTGGAGACAATGTCAGATGCAGCACATGAGCATCCCTTGGCATTGCTTGCAGAACAGACAAAGAAACTTTTGCAGAAAGATAAAACCATTTACATGCCTATCCTAAAACAGAGGCACCACAATGCAGCTGCTGTTTCAGCATCTCTACTTCACAGACTATATGGCATTAAGCTGGTAAGCTTATTGTTGGTTCATTGGTTTTCAAAAGATCCATCTGTGTGTGATTTTGGACTTAACGTAGTGATTCCTGAAATATGAGAGTCATTGTAAATATTTCAGAAGCCATTCGTTGATAGTGCCGAGCAACTTAGTGAAGACATTGTAGCTGTATTTCCTGCTGCCAACAGTCTTGAGCAGTACATCATGGAAATAATCATTCAGACCTGTGAAGAGAGGGCTGCAGACCTATACTGCAGAAAACTGAATTTGTACAAGGTTCTTCCCATTTTTATGGATAAATATAGAAGTAACTATGCAAGAACATATATCTTTCATTTGTGATGGTATGATGTAACATGTTTTTGTGCCTCTTGTTTTATTTATTTATTTATTTATTTATTTATTTATTTATTTATTTATTTATTTATTTATTTATTTATTTATTTATTTATTTATTTATTTATTTATTTATTTATTTATTTATTTATTTATTTATTTATTTATTTATTTATTTATTTATTTATTTATTTATTTATTTATTTATTTATTTATTTATTTATTTATTTATTTATTTATTTATTTATTTATTTATTTATTTATTTATTTATTTATTTATTTATTTATTTATTTATTTATTTATTATTTTTTTTTTTATTCATTCATTCATTCATTTATTTATTCATTTGCTTATTTAAGATGACAATTGATGTATTTCTTTTAATTTTTAATATAATTTCTTTGGTCTGAGTTGTACATACACTCTAGTTTAGAGATTATTAGTGGTTGCTCACTTTTCATTTTTAGGTCTCTCTTCTATACTATTCATTTTAAACCAGGAAATAATAAGGCTTGAGTTCAGTTGTAATGTTGTATAATAGTGGAGTATTTTGTCAGCAGGTTTTAAGTCACCATGGACCTTTAGAGACGCTAGAATTTCAATAAAGTTGTTTTTGGGTTTTTTTCCTTGAGACCATTATAGCTTTATATATCTCTTTCTTCGTTTTCTTATGTAATTCTCTTATTGGCCACATGTTCTAGCTTATCTTTGTTTTACCCTCTTTGTAAATTATGAATTACACAACCGCTTTTCCCCATATGACTGTAAATTGGGTAAACAAAAGTTCTGTGTGTAACCATATTTCTATCTACTCTGATTATATATTGTTTGTGGTGTTTTCGTAAAATGTTTCCTATTCCATGAAAGCCTGTTTTAAATATCTTTATGGGATGCATAATTGCGTACAATATTCTCAATTTAGTTGCACTTCTTTCACCATCAGTAGTGTTCCCTTCGATACTAGCTGACTGCACCTTTACTGGTATATCTATGATTTTTTTTTATTTTGTCCTGCAAAAAGCACGAAGACAATTTAATGTTTTTTTTGTTTCACTTCAGATTGAAACTGCTTCAAGTACTCTGGTTCTTAGATGGGTAAATTCACAACTTGGAAGGATCTTAGGTTGGGTTGAGCGGGCTGCTCACCAAGAGGTTGCAATCTATTTTATTTTATTCAGTTTATGTACTTGTTTACTTTCATTTGTTGAGCATGATTTTACCCACTGCATTTCTTACTTATGTCCACCAATGTATAGTACTCTTTCCCTTTCTAATGTGTGTCTATTTTATGTGTTTTCCGCTGCCCTAATGGTCTAAGGAGTAAGGACCAAGTTATGGCGCTGGAACCCAAAATTAATGAAATAAAGTTAGGTATTGGAAACTACATGAAAAACGATTTCTTAAAGCGATGGATTCTAAAGATACTCTTGCATTGGCAAAATACGTCAAACATTTGTCATAGTTAGGCTCAGTTGACCATAAGAAAGTAATCTTTGACAAATAACATGATATGCGTGGAATAAGGTCTGAAACAGTTTAGCTGGTTGAATTTGTTGTGATGGAAACTCTGCACATACATGTAGGGAAAACACCCCCATACACTGAGCTTCGCTAAGTTATATAACACCCCAAGCTAGTTTATAGTGTGACTTTGTAGATGAAAAATCTCTGTTATAGCACTATATGCTTAATTGCTTATATAAAGTAACATGGAATACATGCTGCGCCATATTCTATATAATATGCTACTAATCTTTATCTAACTTCGGTGGCAATTCAGCCTTTTGCGTTCAGTTGTGTGTGTGTGTGTGTCTATCATCTTCTAATTCTTTTTCCTACGATCTTACCAACCTGCACAAACTAATGTTGGAATGTTAATTCCCAGAACTGGATGCCAGTATCACCACAACAAAGATATGGAAGCTCGATAATTGAAGTCTACAGGATAGTTGAAGAGGTTAGTGTATGATTTTGCTATTCCATTTGTCTTGTTTTTTTGTTGTGTTGTCTGCTATGTGTTGCAATTTTTTCTTACCAATAACAACCAAACTACTTTTGGGTGAGAGTATGACATTGGATAGAGCAAAGTGGAGGGAGAGGATATGTGTGGAGGATTGATGTCCCTGTATCCTTTTTAACTTCAGTTTCATATATCAATTCATGTTAGCTGACCCCAAACTCTTTTGGGAATTGGGACTAAGACTTGGGTGTTGTTGTTTGACTACTTTGCGTATATGACATCAAGATGGACATGTTGGAAATTCTTCTAGTATTTGGTGTCACAAATGCTGGTATATATACTAGAAACTTTATCTTTGAAACAAGAGAGGTATTTGCTAGTTTTCATTGATATTTGATAGGGACCTACATATTAGACTAATAATAGAAGTAATAATAATAATAATATTAGTAATAAGGGTCTCTATTATAAATAGACGGGAAGGGGAGTAGTAAGGAGGCTTTTGGGACATTTGTTTGGGACTGGGAAGATCTGAGACTAGTCGTCTCTATCTTTGGGAGGCTTCGGCCTTAGTTACTGTACTGTTCATCTTCTTCTCTAATAAAATTCAGTTGATTTCTTGTTAATTTCCTGTCAACTGTTCTGGATAATTGGAGGATCCTATCATTGGTATCAGAGCCGTTACTTCCGGGAGACGGTGAATCTGAATCATCGAAACAATGGAGGAATTCGAGATGACACCGCAAATGGAAAAAAGTTTTGATAATATAGACCGACATATGAGGGAGATACAAGCGAGTATGGTCGAGTCGCAAGAAAAGATGAAGACGATGATGGTCGCTATGCAAGAAGCGATGCAAGCGAGAGTCGCAGATTGGCAGAACCGACTTCAAAGTCGTTCGCGACATACATCGCACCATTCGCACCGATCTTCGCATCGCTCATCCCACCCTAGCTCTTCGCATCGCTCCTCTCCTCACTCGTCGCAGAAGGAGTCGCCGATGAAATCGCAAAATACTTCTCACTCGCAGAAGGACTCACGTCATCGACATAAGCAACAATCGACTATCTCAAAGGCGATCGAGGAATCGATCGCACACCTCGCATCGATTTCCGCATCAGGGAGAGGTTGACAACATCGCACTTCCAACAAGGAGCCATAGGCATCATTCATCGCAGTCGCTCACCAAGTCGCAGACTGAGTCGCTAAGGAGGACTCCTAGTTCGCGTTCAAGAGAGACGCGAGTGAGAGGAGAGTCATCATCTTTATCACCAGAGAAATTTCACTCTTATTTTTCTTCTAAAGCAGTTTCTCGTAAGTCAGCTATTTCAAAGGAGGAGGAATTACCTCTATTCTACGAGCATGAAGCATATGAATGGATAGGGAGGATGGAAAGATATTTCCGAGTCAAAGCTATTGCAGAAAGATTTAAGGTGGATGTAGCAGCAAAGGCAATGGGGGAAGCCACAGATGGCTGGTTTCAATGGTGGGATTTTCAAAAGAGAGAAGATAGTTGGCAGGCTCTAAAAGAAGATTTGATGAAGGATTTTCCACCTAGACACCGGCAGAAGACAGGGAAGACAGCAAGACAGGAGTCATCGAGATCAACAAGAACTTCCTACAGTTCACAATAGTCATCACCAACATCATCCTTCAGTTCGCAGGCTTCAATTGCTACTGCCAGTTTACTTAAGAAGCAATCCAGATGTGAAGTTTCCAGTTCGCAATCCGGAACTGTTTCTGTCAGACCTGCAGCAACTTGTCTCAGTCCACAACAAAATTTGGAAGGAATGGAAAATGTGGATTCAGATTTAAACTCATCTCCAAAGGATGTTTTGATTGAAGAAGTAAGTCTTACTCTTGGACTAGAAGACATGACACACCAAGTGAAAAAAATTGATGTCAGGAGAGGGGGTAGTCCTAAAGCCTCATCTGGAGAGTTCAGAATAGCAGATTTCTTAAATGAGAAGGCAGTGGGAAATTTGGTGGAACAAAATAGTGAAACCAAAGGAAAGATGAAATTGATACTTAATTTGGAAATGGCCATGTCTTTTTTGGGTGGTAGATCTGATTACCTGCTAGGACACCAACTTTGGAAATTTTACTTGGAAAATAATATTTTTTGTTCCTTAGTTAAGAGAATTGCAGCGGGAAGAGTAAATCAGTTTACTTGCTTGCTAAAACCTTTTAGACTTTCCTTTTCAAATGAGGTAGGTAAGGAATTAAAAGAGAAAAAAATTGATAGGAACAAAAAAGATTTTGCAGCCAATACTGTACTAGTCTCAGAAGATAGAAACTATGAGGAGCTGCAGAATAGTAATGAATTAATTTCTGCTATGGAAGGCTGAAGAAGGCTGAACCAAATGAAACTGTTACCTATGCTGTCTTGAAATTGAATCCAAATGCTTTGTCTTCTGGCTTGAGTTCTTGGTCCAATTTTCGGGAAGAAAAGGCTCCTTCTTATTACTCAGGTTGGAGTAAGAATGCATACCAAGATGGTGGATATTGCTATGTGATGGTGGGCAATGATCAATGTATCTCAAGAGTTTCATCTCTGAGTTGTTCTATTAGAAAGGGGTTGGGAGTAGGATTGACTGAGAGTGATATGATAAAGGTTAGAGAAATGCCAGTGGTCTGTTTACTTGTTCCAGATGGGGGTGGAGTTGGTGACTACCAGTTTCAGTTGGCTGCTGTGAATGCTGCAATATCAAGGAATGAAGCAACTGAAACTCAAGGGTTTGAGTTATATCCTGTAGTAAGAGCTATTAGTAGGTGGAAGAATGAGCAAGGGATAATGGGTGAAGATCAGTACCAGCAAGATCAAAGACACAGGACTAATATTGATGATTGTAAGGAAGAGGAGCTAATGCTGTTTTTGCAAGAAGCAGTGAGAAGGAAGATTCAAGGCATGAAGTTCAGGATCCTGAAATTTGAAAGATATTGGGAAGGAAGAGGTGAAAGAAAGAAGAAGGAGAAGATTTTGGTTGTCTCCTACCGCCCACCTTGAGGGCAAAGTGGATGTTTAGGGAGGGAGTATTGATAGGGACCTACATATTAGACTAATAATAGAAGTAATAATAATAATAATAATAATATTAGTAATAAGGGTCTCTATTATAAATAGATGGGAAGGGGAGTAGTAAGGAGGCTTTTGGGACATTTGTTTGGGACTGGGAAGATCTGAGACTAGTCGTCTCTATCTTTGGGAGGCTTCGGCCTTAGTTACTGTACTATTCATCTTCTTCTCTAATAAAATTCAGTTGATTTCTTGTTAATTTCCTGTCAATTGTTCTGGATAATTGGAGGATCCTATCAATATTATGATAGTAACCACCACGTGAAAGTTAATCACAGTCAGGATTGGTGGGTGGCCTAAGTGCTCACCAGTTTCTTATTTAGGTAATTACGTCGCGAGTTCAAGTCCTTAAAACCTCACTAAAAATGGATGTCCGTGTAAAGCTGTGCAGATAGTACTTTTTGGATCAATTTACTTTTGGGATCGATTTTTTATTAAAGCTTGTGCCACCTAATTATTGAAGGTGTAATTAATTGCACTATTTATCGTTGAAGTCGTGTTGCAGAATTTACTTTTTGAAGTGTCCGTTACTCTTTCGTGATGACTTTACCTTAGTACTAACAATCTCAATTGTTTGGGTATTGCAGACAGTTGATCAGTTGTTTGCGCTTAGATTGCCAATGAGATTAGAGGAACTGAATAGCCTCTTCAGAGGAATTGACAATGCATTTCAATTGTATGCAAAAAATGTTGTTGAAAAGCTTGGTACGTACATTTTCATGCATGAATGTATTTACTAGTAAATAAGTTCAGCAACATAAAATCATAAATGCTAATATCACAAATTACTCAAAACAGAACTTCAAAATTTTAATTTTTTACCACTAAATAATTAACATCGAGTAATGTAAGGATTTTATTACTCGTGATGTTTAGTTTTATGTAAACAATGAATTGTCTGTGTGGCTCCTGCTTCTGTGTGAATGTTATAATATGAATGAATTGCTGATATTGTATGTTATTTATCTCTAATTCATCTCTAGTCTTATCTAAAACTATTCAATGGCAGCCAATAAGGAAGATATTATTCCACCGGTTCCTATTCTTACAAGATACTCTAGGGAACATGGAATTAAGGCTTTTGTAAAGAAGGAATTAAGGGATACAAAGTTGCCTGACAGCAGAAAGTCCAGTGACATCAATGTTCCGTCCACCTCAAAACTCTGCATCCAATTGAATACACTTCATGTGAGATCAAACACTATCTATCCATTTTTTGGATTTTAATTTTTTTATTTGTTACTCAAATAATTATTTCCATATGACAGTATGCAATTAGCCAACTGACTACATTAGAAGATAGTATTTGGGAGCGCTGGTCAAGGAGAAAACAACATGATAAGATTACAAGTGAGTGTCTTTTTCATTTGATGTAAAACCAGTGTAAAAGATTTGTGCTTTATTTTTTTTTTGTAATTTTGTTATGTCCTGTTTAAAATCATTGCTTTTTTTTTTGAAGTGCAGACGATAAAAATATTTATTTGTGTAAATGGCCCTGGACTCTTTTAACAGAAAAATTCTGTGATTGTCTTTACCTGTAGGAATCCCATGCAAATGATGCAACTACCTTCTCAATTTTTTGTATTGATATTATTCATATTGTGATTTTCTATTCAGCAAAATCTACAGATGTTGGTACAAAGAGTTCACTGCAGAAGAGTACATTTGATGGCAGTAGAAAAGATATCAACGCAGCTATTGACCAAATCTGTGAGTTTACAGGTGAGAAAATTCCCATTTTATTGCCGTGCAATTTTTTTCACTCTAATAGTTCATTCTAATGTAATGTATTCATATCGTACAGGAACTAAAATTATTTTCTGGGATTTAAGAGAAGCATTCATTGACAATCTATACAAGCCCACAGTTACTCAGTCTAGGTTTGAAGTGCTGATGGACCCACTTGACACAGTATGTTTATGAGTTAGCAATTATGATATGCTGAGAATGTTTTGAATGTTAAAATTTAAAAATAAAAGCTTTGATCCGAATTGCATGCAGGTTTTGAATGAACTATGTGACGTTATAATGGAGGCACTAAGAGATCGGGTTGTAACCGGCCTCCTTCAAGCTTCATTGGTCTGTCTGATCTCGACCGTGTCTCTTCACTGTAGTGATTATTATAACATCCAGTAACTAACCTTTTTTAAGTTGTCAACTGGACAGGATGGCTTACTGAGGGTCATATTAGATGGAGGTCCATCACGCATATTGCATCCCGCTGATGCTAAACTATTGGAAGAGGATTTAGAGGTCTTGAAGGTATCCATTCCATTTTATAAATTTTAGGCTCTACTTGTAAATCTCTTTTGGGATATTCTTGTGTTTCATCATCATCATTACCCAATGCCGCAAAGACTCCCACCTATGGTGGGGGGTAGGGGGGTCGGATGTACTTACTTCTATACTAAAGCACAGAGACTTTTTCCGGATGACCCAAAGTGAAAATCGCGTCGAAAATTGCATGTACCGACTGCTGCTTCATAACAAAGAAGCGCAGACAGTTTAGTGAGCCATTTTGCTTTATTCCATCATAATCCCAAGCCAAAAAAGTAGTGAGTCTTTGGCTCTATTGCAAATGATGGAACCAGAAGTGTATGTACAAGAAAATAAATGAATTATTTTTGTGTGACAGCAGAAGTATTTTCCCAAAACATTTTTTATGTTTTTTACTTCATATTTGTGGGTCAAACATTATATTATATACCGAATGACTTACGTTCCTGTTAAGACCCGGGGTTCCATCCTAAAAGGTCAACCTAATAGGAGTAGCCCAAAGCCTTATATAGTGTTTAATTCTTTTATAGCTTTCCGGTGTGGGACGAATGTTTTATACCATGTTAAGACCCGGGATTCCATCCTAATAGGTCAACCTAATAGGAGTATCCCATGTGTTAATATAGCAATTTGTTCATCCAAACTTTTTCAGTGTGGGACATTTAACAGTTCCCATAAAACATTTCCTAGCAAACATCATTCAAAGAACTCTAATACAGTATTCACATTGTGTTTCTTGTAGGAATTTTTCATCTCGGGAGGTGATGGCCTTCCTCGAGGAGTTGTTGAGAACCACGTGGCACATGTTCGGCAAGTGATAAAGTTACACACTTATGAGGTTAGTATTTCTTCAGAGAAATAAAAATAAACGACAACCACATTTGGTCATGGTTATTCCAGCATTAATAAAAATACTTCAATTGTAATCTTTATATATGCATGAATATAATCATTGTGATGGTTGAGATTTGAAAGATCATTTTTGGTTGGTTGCAGACTAGGGAACTGATTGAGGACTTGAAATTTGCTAGTGAGGTAGAAATGCAGGGTGGCAGGAGCAAACTTGGTGCAGATACAAAGACCTTACTTAGGATTTTGTGCCACAGAGGTGATTCTGAGGCCTCTCAATTTGTGAAGAAACAGTTCAAAATACCTAAATCTACATCTTAGTCCCGTACTACATTTGCTTGCTGTATAGAAAATGTTATTGTCGCCGTTTTTCAGTGAAAGTTAACAACAGAGTTTCAAGCACATAAAATGTCATAGACGCTTAGGGCCTGTTTACTAACAGAGATATTTTCCAATTTTCCAGAAAACTGGAAAACTGGAAAACAGAAAACAGGAAACGTGTTTACCAAAGAAATTCCTGGAAAACTGAAGAAAGGAAAAAAGAAAAACGCGTTTACCAAATCGTTTTCCAAAACGAAAAAAATGAGACATGTCTCTCTTTTCCTTAATGATTTGGAGAAGTGACTTTTACTAGTTTTCCAAATTTGGAAAACGTAGATGCTACAGTGCCGCTGCAATGAATTTGCAAACTTACACCTAATGGTGGGACCGGTCCCGCTCCGATGTCGATTCCATTCCGGTACCTCCATCCTCGTACCTTACCCCTTACCCCTACCCTACCCTACCCTACCTTAACCACCCAACCCCACCCCGCATACCCATTTTTCCCTATAATGACCCTACCCCACCCCCTACCACATGCCCCTACCTCGGCCCCACCCCGACCCACCCTACCCTACCCCCACCCCCGTATATTACCCCTTACCCCTTACCACATGCCCCTACCTCGGCCCCACCCCACCGCCATCCTACCCCCACCCTTCCGCCATCCTACCCCCCACCACACCCTTCCCCTACTTCGGCCCCACCCAGATCCCAGGCCCACCCTACCGCCATCTTATCCCACTACCCCTACCTTACCCCAACCCTACCCACTACCCCCACCCTTACCGCCATCCTACCCCCCACCCTACCCCTTCCCTACCTCAGCCCCACCCTGGTCCTGGCCCCACCCTACCGCCATCCTATCCCAACTCCATACCCTACCTCTACCTTACCCCAAACCCTACCCACTACCCCACCCTTACCCCTAACCACGACCCTAACCCACCCACTACCCCCACCCAACCCCCTACCCCTAGACCTTACCACCCCACCCTGACCATACCCCTTACCCCATCCCCACCCATAACTTCCCTACCCCGACCCCTACGAGTAGGTATGGGTGGGTATGAAGGGTTGTGGGGGAGTATGGGTAGAGTGTAAGATCGTGGTAAGGGTAGAGGTCAAGGGTGAGGAATTGGAGAACTGAGTGAAAAAATTGATGAACATGTTTTCAGATTTGAAAATGGAAAACTAAAAAATAGAAACAGAAAATTGGAGATAGAAAAACTGAAAAATAAAAACAGAAAATTGGAGAACGGAAAACAGAAGTAGAAAACAGGAAAATATCTCTGTTAGTAAACAGGCCCTTAGTTTTGCTAGGTAACCCATAATCATTTGTTGAGCTAATTTTTGGTTATCCTCTTGTACAAAGACAGAAGGAAATTGAGAATGATGATGCGCATGTGTGTATTGTAAATTGATTTAGTGACATTTTAATAGAAGTTTATGGGTTTTATAAGCCTAGATCACTTGATGTATCCAATACATACTTTTTAATTTTTATAATCAATAAAAGATTAGGTGTTTGATTTTTTTATTGATCTACCAATATCTAGGGGTGTTCTTATGTATGGAAATAGAAAAGGGAAAAAGTGAAAATGTATCTTTAGGAACAAATTTACTCTTATTGACTTTAAATAAATAAAAAATATATTTAATTTACTAAAAAAAATTAATGAATATTTTGAGTATGGAGATTGAAAAATAAAAATAAAAAATAAAAAACCCATTTCGTGTTGAATGCATTTTACGTAGTATTATTTTTGTATATATGTAATACTCCATATATTGTTAACATTAACACAAAGGAAATATTTTAAAACTCTTAACATTAAAAAGGGTAAAGGATCAAATAGGCTCTTGAACTCACTTAAAATGTTCAATTAGCCCCTTATATAGGAGGTTTTGCCCGTCCGTCGCCAATTGGGGCAGTTCCCGGTAGAATTTTTTGATGAAATTTTTTGAGCATCTTCTTCATTAAGTCTAGTTTACTCATACCAATTTTCAGCAAAAAATTCAACCGAGAAGACAGTCAAATGATTTTTTGAAGATAATTGCGAAGTTAAACAGCGCAGTACATTTCGGAAAATCATTTGACTGTCTTCCCGGTTAAATTTTTAGTTGAAATTTGGTATAGGTAAAGTAGACTTAATGAAGATGATGTTCAAAAATTTTCATTAAAAAATCCCACCGGGAACCGCACCAATTAGCGACGGCCGGGCTGAACCTCCTATATAAGAGGCTAATTGAATACTTAAAGTCTTTTCAAGAACCTATTTGACCCATTCTATGCTCACCTTTTATTTTAACAATATTAAATGTTGACATAAAAATAATCGGGAAGCATTGAACAGAAAATGTTTTTTTTTTTTAATTTTCATTTTCTAAATTCGATAATTAAAACATCTCACTAGTTCTAGTTTGGTGGGACCGGGAACAAATCGATTTGGGCGAGCACTGTCATACTGGACCAGTTTTTGGTGGAACCATAAAGAACAATATGGTTTTGAGCAAACTAAGGGAGTGTTTGCAGTTAAAAAAAAAAGTATTTTCAGCTTTGGGCTTAAAAAGATTGAATTTAGTATTTTCAAACACCAACTTCTACTTTAGAAAAGCACTTTAAGGTGCCGTTTGGAAACACCATTTTTCGGCTTATCAAGCTTATCAGCCAACTTTTTCACCAAACACGTAACTTTTGCTTTCTCGCGCTGAGTTGTGTAATAAGCAGAAAAAGTAAGGTTGGAGTTACTTTTCTGGCTGTATTGGCTGAAGTTACTGTAGATGATCATTTTGGCTATTTTTACATATAATTTTTTCTTTATTTTATTAAGAAAATATATTTTAAAAATAAATTTTTCTTAAATCAGCAGAATCAGCCAATGCAGCCACTTCAGCCAGAACTTCATAAATTTCAGCAGAATCAACCAAAACAGCCGATTTTAGTGTTACCAAACAGGCTCTAAGGCTAAAAGCTGGAAGCGGGGATGAGGGTGTTTTTAACTGCTTCTAGTTTTTTTTTTTGTAAATAACTCCAACTTAAAGGGTAGTTATAATGGTAAGCATATTTATTGAAAATCCAAAATACCCTCATACATCTTCCCAGATCCTTCGCATCTTTCATGGGTTTAATGCACCAAAACCCCCTGTGATATGAAAATTCGGCGCATTAGTCTAATGTGATTTGAAAAATGCATGAAACCCCCTTGTGTTTTAATTAATCATGCACAAAACCCTTTTTATGAATAAAATCAATTGTCAAATAAAAGAAAATTGATCAACATTTTATATGATTTAGAACATTTTATATGATTTAGAGATTTTGACATATTTACTTGCATATTCAATCAAAATATTAGGAAAAGTGATTTCCAAATCGTTAAATTTATTCATAAAAGGGGTTCTATGCATGATTAATTAAAACACAAGGGGGTTTGACGCATTTTTCAAATGACAGGGGGCTAATGCGCCAAATTTCTATATCACTAGGGGATTTGGTGCATTAAACCACATCTTTCATCCCTTAGCCTTTTTCATCATCGATCTTTCTCTTCCCAAACAACTTGTGAGGCTATATGGCAGGCATTCCAAAACCAGAAAGCAAGCATCAATAATCTCTCTGATTTTTGAGTGTTATTTTTATTTTATTTTTACTACCATTTTAAATTATTGAATTTCAGAAATTAAAAATCAGGAGGCACCACTAGTTATCCTCTGAAGTTTGCTCCTTCGATTAATACAGCTGTATTAAAATCTTAGTATGTCTCAGTTAAGATTTGCTATTCTTATCTGAAGTTTGCTCAATTAAAAACGTCTCAATTAAAAAAATCTATAAAGGGTGTAACTTACAACCATCAAAATCTAAGCTAATCTGCTTAAATATCAGAGGATATTAATCGAAGTAGTGGTGCCTCCTGATTTTTAATCTCAGTTAGCTCAATTAAAAACGTTATAATACAGCTCAAAAATCTTAACTGAGATATTAAGATACATGGACATTTAAGGATGTTTTCTTTTGGACTGAAATTTGTTGGTCTGGTCTGATCTGGTCTGATCTGGTCTGGTAAACGTCTGGTCTCTGTGTATTTTATAACTACGGAAGTCAAATCTGGTCTGGTCTGATCTGGTCTGCGACTGAAAACAGTCCAAAAGATAACATCCTAAGAAGTATGTCTGAAAAAAAATCTATAAAGGTTCTAACTTACAACTATCAAAATCTAAGCTAATCTGCTTAAATATGCTTTGGTCTAGGACTGAAATCAGTCTAAGTAAAAACATCTTCATTTGTACATGATCTCAAATAATTATACCCGATGTTTCAAAAGACACTAGGCGCTAATCGGGTGTCAATCCAGCACTTAGCGCCTAGTGGCGACGCGGGCACCTAAGAGTGGACTAGCCGGAGACAGAAATTACAGTTTTTCAATATTTTTGAATAAATACAATTAGTAATGTTGTGTTTGTGTGTAAAAAATATATACACATACACATTTATATGCATGAATGATAAAATTGTCACATTCAATAATATATTCTATGTACTCATTTAACTTCACTATATACTAAATATAACAGGTAGTCCTGGACTCGGTTCGGGCCACCCGGCCCAGCCCGCTACTGTGTGGGACCGGCCCGGTGCTGCGGGCCCCAAACCGGTCTAAGGCCCGGTTAGCTAGAAAAAGCGGGGCGGTCTCGGGTCAATGAAAAGGAGGCCCAGCCCGGCCGGGCCCGGTTCGGGCCAAATTGATTTTTTTTTTTTTTTTTTTTTCATTTTTTGGGGTTCCACCAGGGTTGGGCTTGATGTTTAGGAGGGGTTTGGGGGGGTGGGGGTGAGGGGGGGGGGGGTCAGGGATACTTAGGAAAGCAAAAAAAAAAAAAAAAAAAACCCCGAGGCCCGGCCCGGACCCGGTAGCTACCCGGACCGTTCTCGGGCCCAACTATTCAGAACCGGCGGCCCGCCTGGGCCTAGGCCCGGCCCGAATCCAGCCCTAATAACAGGGTATCAAATAATAATAACACTTCAGAATATATATATATATATATATATATAGAGGAATGCTCCTGTCCAGACGTCCGGACAGGAGCCGCCGTCCGGCCGGCGGCGTTTGGCCGCCTTCCCGGTGGAATTTTTTGATGAAATTTTTATGGCATGTTCTCCATCAAGTCTAGTTTATCCACAAAAAAATTCAGCCAAAAACTCAATCGGGAAGGTCGTCAAATGATTTTTGCAAGTTAACTGGTCCGGAAAATACATATTCCGGACCAGTTAACTTGCAAAAATCATTTGACGACCTTCCCGATTGAGTTTTTGGCTGAATTTTTTTGTGGATAAACTAGACTTGATGGAGAACATGCCATAAAAATTTCATCAAAAAATTCCACCGGGAAGGCGGCCAAACGCCGCCGGCCGGACGGCGGCTCCTGTCCGGACGTCTGGACAGGATCTTTTCTATATATATATATATATATATATATGATCCGGTCAGGAGTTCCTGACCGGAACCTCCGTCCGGACCGCGGCGTTTGGCCGCCTTCCCGGAAAATACATATTCCGGACCAGTTAACTTGCAAAAATCATTTGACGACCTTCTCAATTGAATTTTTGGCTGAAATTTGGTATGGATGAACTAGACTTGATGAGGAACCTACACAAAAAATTTGAGCAAAAAATACCTCCGGGAAGGCCCCCAAATGGAGGAGGCCGGACGGGGCTCCGGTCAGGTATACCTGACCGGAAGAGTACTCTATATATATATATATATATATATATATATATATATATATATATATATATAAAATATATATATATATATATATATATAGAGAGAGAGAGAGAGAGAGAGAGGAATGATCCTGTCCAGCCGGAGGGACAGGATCTTCCGTCCGGCCGCCGCCGTTTGGGGCGGTTCCCAGTGGAGTTTTTTGATGAAATTTTTATGGAATGTTCCTCATCAAGTCTAGCTTACCCACAAAACATTTCAGCTAAAAATTCGATCGGGAAGGCAGTCAAATAATTTTTTGAAGATAACTGCTCCAACTTAAACATATAAAACGCAGTTATGTTTTAAAAAATTATTTGACTGCCCTCCCGATCGAATTTTTAGCTGAATTTTTTTGTGGATAAACTAGACTTGATGAGGAACATTCCATAAAAATTTCATCAAAAAACTCCACCGGGAACCGCCCCAAACGGCGGCGGCCGGACGGAGGATCCTGTCCCTCCGGCTGGACAGGATCTTTTCCGTATATATATATATATATATATATATATATATATATATATATATATATATATATATATATATATATATATATATATATATATATATATATAAATGTATAGTTTTTATCTTAATGTATAACTAGTAGCTTTTTGCATATTCATTGTCAAAATTAAAGATACGTATATCTCTTAGAATACTAAAATAATAATGAAGCAAAATAAAATGTTCAACGGATCTAGACATCTAGATATCTCCAAAGGAGTCCTTACTCCAAAGGTGCTGCAAAAAAGGGACTGTTGG